GGTGTCACGCGCAACTGCTCTGCGAGCCACACTGCATAAATAGCATTCTAGATAGAAAAACCTTGCAGAGAACAGAAAAGTACAAAGAAAACGCACCTCATCTCCAATATTTCCTTTCAGTGCCCCCCTCATTTATAAATATTCACATATTCTATAAACCTGGGATGGTGCTGGTCTATAATTTTTCTAGCCTTTCCTCAGTATATCTTGAGCCTGTGAGCCAAGACCGCAGCAACGGCGGGTCGTGACTTCTATATGACACCCCTAAAACCTCCCAGACAAAGCTTCCCTCTTTGCGGAATAAAGAGAAAAGAGACAGTGCCCACCTCACCCCCAGATGGCCGCCTGGCAGGTACCTTGGGGCGCTCGAGTTCGTGAACTTCCCGGAGCAGCTTCGTTTTCCCGGCTCACAAAGAGGCTAATGGAGGCGACCAGGCGGAAGGTCGGGAGACGGTCACCGCCCACCGCCCCCGCCTCGGTGAAGGCGCTCGTGGGCCCTGCGGCTGCTCTCCCCGGGGGCCGGGTGTGAGCTGAAGTGGGGTCCGGGAGGGCGTAGCGCGACCGAGATGAAGGCTCGAGGACCGCGGATCGCCGCTCCTCCCGCGCGCGCGGCGCCTCCTCCCGCCCCACGCCTTTATAGAGCCCGCGGCCAAAGCCGGGACGTTCCCAGACTCCGCCCCCCCCTTCCGTCCCCGCACCAGGACCGCGGCGGCGGATACCCTTTCGCGTAAGAAGCCCAGGACCTTCAATGCCTTTCTGAGCTCTCTGACCGGGATTGATGCGCAGGGCAGGGACGCAGATCGCATCAATCAGGTGGCCTTCCCGGAGAACATGTGACCTGAGAGCGGGATTTTGAAAAGAAGGGAATTGATTACTTAAACATTAAAGGGCGACATTCCCCCTAAAGAGTGTTGCCCTGGGGGCGGAGACAGGAGGGGAGTTGAACTAAGCTTTACGGGGCTCCGAGGATGCCAAACACTGCATGCAGGATCTCAGCTAATCTCCACCGTCCGGACAGTAGGTCCCCCTTACAGACGAGTAAACTGAGGCCCAGAAAGTGGTTAAGTGGCGCGGCGAGCAAGAGCAGAGGCAGGATCTGAACCTGCTTCAGGATGCGCTCGCCTTACACCCGAGCAGTCTGGGGACTTCCACTCCTGGGGTTCCACAGGTAAAGGCTGGCACGTGGTGGAATGGGAAACAACCTCTCCGGAGTCCTATGGCTTAGAATGAATAAAGTAATAAATAATACATTTCTGTCTCAGAGAGAAGGTTTGGAATGAACTAAGTATGCAGGAGCCTAAACACAGTAATTGTCAGAGGGGGATAGGAGCGAGACCCTATATAAGGAAAAAAAGGTTTGAGAATAGAGAAAGGAGGACAAAACTTGCCTGACTGAGGTCACGGGTGGCCTGTTTCACGGTTTGGCAAACTGCGCACCCATTCTGGTAGATGGAGATGAGTGGAAGCCACTCATTTGTCTGGGTTCTGTCCTTGCCTTCAGAAGCGTTACTTGTTTGTAGGTCAGTTTCACTGGCCATAAAATGACATTGCCGCTTGTTGCTCCCCACCAGGTAAAGAGGTTCTGCGGGAGGGGTTCAGTGTTGAACTCCCCGAGTTAGGTGTAACCAAGAAGGTAAGCAGGGAAGCAGGGACAAGGAAGGGTGCATCTGCAAGTAAGGAAGATTCCTGTCAGGGCTGCAATTTTGTTCATTAATCATCAACATTTATTGTTTCTTCCGGGAATGGAGACAGCCAGAGTTATCTTCTTTCAGCTGAAGAATGTTAGAGCAGATGGAAGATAAGACATGAAGTTTGATTATGCCAATAAACTCATATAAAATTATATCAGCAGAATTGGAGTTTCCAATCTCTAATCTTTAAAATTAAATAGGATATGAAAATGCTTTATAAACTGCAAAGGACTATATAAATAGGTGTCATTAATAACACTAAAAGAGAAAATGAAAAAATTGCTAAAATTCAAGGTGCTGGAGATTGTTCTACCTTTCTCTGTTTCACTTAAGATGACTGACGGACTTGATTTACTGAATGACACATAATGAGAGAATTTAATCCTTTAGTTCTACGTTAGAGACTAATCTCTATCTCCCTCTAACAACTGGTTAAAAATAATGGACCTTAACATGAAAAATGGCTTGTGGAAATTGAGGAACAGCCAAGAGTGTACACTCCAGAAGTTTCTGTTTCTTAAAGGCTTGAGGGAGGGACACTTGGCAGTGGCTAGCGTTGCTTGTCCATGTTTATTTCCTTTCAGATAATTGAGGCAAGGACATTCACTGCAATCTTGGCTTCCAAGACTTCGTGAAAACTGCTAAAGGGCCCAGAAAACGTCCAGAGACTTGAATAGAGCCAGAGCCAAAAAGAAATGTGCCTGTTATGCTTCTTGCAGTGTAATGGAGACGAAAAAAGGATTACTCAAAGCACCATGAATGTGATGAGAAGCCCGAAGGGACTGCACCTCAGCAACTCCTCTGTTAGAAGGAGAAAATTGGGTACAGCCCCGATTCAAAGTTAGCTTCTGTTTTTTATTGTAAAGACAAGGAAGTTTCACAAGAAAAATCAGTTGATTCAATCATTACAAAAGAACACAAAGGCATGGGCAGTGTTACAAAAGTTATCTATGGCTAAGTATAGTTTAAACAATGGAAACTAGCAACATCAATAAAATTAACAATGTGACATTCCAAAGTACAATTAGTGAAAAGCTAAATTGGTCAAACTGTGGATCATTATCTAAAGTATAACCTCTCCTTAAATGATATAAGCAAAAGTTGCATAAAATCTAAGTATAATTATCTCTAAAGTTTCCACCAACAGACAGCTTGCCCCTAGCAAACATTTATTCACATCTTTCCCTTCAGCAATTCTTAAAATCTTTTTAACATCTTTTCCTTCAGCAATTCTTAAAATCTCTTAACAGGATCAGTATGACAACCATCTGTTAGCTCTAAAATCATTAAAGTATACAATCCCATACCTAAGCAGTGATTAGAGCTGATCAGATGGGCTGTTTCCCGCTGGCTGTAGGCCGTTGCCTCCTACCCGAGGACTTTTGCCCCATATGTGTATTTACCTAAAAACCCTATTCTAAAAATCAAATGAGAATCAAGATTTCTAACCCTCTACACGTGCCTATTTTTTTCTGTACTTTAAATTTATTGAGTTTTCTGAAAATCCCCTGGTGACATTACAAAAGAAGCTATTTTAAATCACTCATATCTAAAATAGGTGATTTGTAATATTTGCTTTATTACTGTTTTCTTTGTGTAAAATCACTAAAAACAGTTCTTCTTAAATAGATTATGTTACAGTTTTACTACAGATTTTACTTATTTTTGTTCAAGGTCAAAGTTTAAGCAAATAGAGTAATGATAGCTTTTACAGAAAAACATGAACACCATTCTTTGGTAATGAAAATAACTTTATTGTTAAAGAAACACAGTAGGACTTTAATGACAGGTTACATTTAATGACAGGTTACATTTTAATGACAGACATTTCAGGAAGGGGTTTATATAAATATCTTCATCTTGGGCTATGATTTCTTTTGAAATTATCAAATTAAGAAATTGTGAAAGTAATATCAGATTAAATATAAAGCTTCCAGCATATTACAAATCTGCCAATGAGAACGGGCCTGCTGGAAATCACTTTTTTTTTTTTTTTTGTCTTTTGTCTTTTTCCGTGTCCGGCAATGGATCACAACCCTCAGTGTTGCCCCCGTACCGGACCGGAGACCGGCAACGGGATTGCAACCCTCAGTGTTGCTCCCGCACCTCACTCAGCCAGTGAGCAGGAACCGGTCTGTATGTGGGATCCGAACCCTCGGGCGGGAGCGCCGCCGTGCTTCCCAAGCTGCGCACTATCCAGTGCGCCACCGGGCCGGCCCCTGGAAATCACTTTTGAGGCCCTCTTATTTGCTGGTTTCCTTTTTGAAAAGGAACAAAACCATTTTTTTGGTTTCAATGTGGTTGTATAATTTTGGATTCATCTGTGGGTCCTGAAGTGTCCTTGAAGTATGAAATTTTCTCTTGCACTTAGAACTGCTCAAGGGGTATATAAATTAGACAAAGTGTGCTTAAACTCTTTTCCTGGAAATTTAAAGAAGACCTCAGTGGCTTTTAAACTCTGACTTCACATGATACAGCCAAATGCCCTGAGCAGTATTGGGTTACTCTGGGCTGTAGTAAATAAGCTAAATTCTTTCAGGAAGAAATTCCAAGGAACAACTTCTGAGAAATGGAAACACTGAAAGTTGGGCTAGAATTACTTAACAAATCAAAACTGAAGAAGACAGTAGGCATGTATGTTATTGACACAAAAAGGAGGGATTTACTGTTTGACTTATCAATGACAAATCATTTTGTGTGAAAATAACGTAAAATGCCTGCAATCCAACATAGTTCTATCTGGCTTTAAACAGTTTGAAATTTCCAAATTGTATTAATGTTAAGAAATAAAGTAAAATTTTGTCTCAGCTCTCCTATTCAATTGATGATGTCCCATCAGTAACTATTCATGCTGTGATGGAGTTTGGATGTGTTGTCCCCCCAAAACTCATGTGGAAATTTAATCTCCAATGTGGCAGTGTTGGAAACTGATTGAGTCATGGGGGAAGATCCCTCATGAATGGATTAATGCTCTCCCTGGGGGAGGAGGGGTAGTGAGTGAGTTCTTGCTCTACTAGTTCCCACGAGAGCTGATTGTTTAAAGGACCCTGGCACCTCTCTGTTCTCTCTCTTGCTTCCTCTTGCCATGTGATCTGCTTGTACCTGCCAGCTGCTTGCTATTTTTCTTCCATGAGTAGAAGCAGCCTGAGGCCCATGCCAGATGCAGCTGTCCCAGAATCGTAAGCCAAATAAACCTCTTTTCCTTATAAATTGCCCAGTCTCAGGTAGTTCTGTTATAGCAACACAAAACAGACTAATACATGCTGTCATCACCCCCCCCCCCCATCTCCATGACATGGGTTGCAACATAACTTCTAGTTAAGTTACTCGGTTGTTTGGAAATACAAAGACATTATTTCCATGGAAAGAATCTTAAGAGAAGTTTTTAGGTACTTCACTAGCCCATAATTAAGCTGATGTGTCTGAAAGCCTATTGAATTTTATTTAAAATCAAAAGTAGAAGAAGCTAATCCATGGTAATACAATCACACCATATACAAAACATAAGCAAAAGTTACTTGTTTATTTTACTTGCTGGTGAATGAGTTATGTGCTTTTTTTTCAAGGTGCTCTAAGCATCTCAGGCACATACTCATCTAACCCTCCCCTGTCCAGCTCAGACCTTCAAATTCAAGGTGACTCAGCTCAGGAGAGCCCCACCTCACAGCTGATGCTCTCTGCCAACCTGTGAAAACATTTAGAATCACGTGAGATATCTGACCTAGCTCTTTTTTCATTAGTTCCTAAATGGCAGACAGAAAGAAGCCCAAAGTGTTGGGATGAGAACCAAGAAAAGTTAGTGTGGACTTCTCTTCCTCCTCCCTATTCCTAGAATCAAGCGATTTCAATTAA